AGTCAATGTGAAACCAAAATGCTCTACATATGCTATCAATAATGCCTAAGCTGGGAGGATGCCCACAAAGAGGTTTGGATAGAGTTATAGATCCCAATTTGCAGGTAGACGAAAAGACTGCAGAAGAGTATATGCCTAAGGAGTTAACATGATGATGCTGTGGTTTCAGGGACCAAGGAGTTTTGCTGTTTATTCGTTCAGTCGCTTTTTGTGTGAGCTGTCTCGCCACCCCCAACTCCCTTCAAGGTCAAGTCAGTCACTTCAAGGATACCATCCATCCATCTTGCCCTTAGTGTGTCCCTCTTCCTTTTTCCTTTCATTTTCCACAGCATCATCATCTTCTCCAAGCTTTCCTGCGGCCAAAGTACTTCATCTTGGCCTCTAATATCCTTTCCTCCAGTGAGCAGCCGGGCTTTGTTTCCTGGAGTATCGACTGGTTGGATCTTGTTGTGGTCCAAGACACTCTCAGAACTTTCCTCCAACACCACAGTTCAAAAGCATCTATCTTCCGTTACTCAGCCTTCCCTATGTTCCAGCTCTCACATCTGTAGGTTACTATGGGGAATACTATTACTTTAACTATGCGGATCTTTAAAGCCCGTGTGATGTCTCTACTCTTCACTATTTTATCAAGGTTGGTCATTACTCTCCTCCCAAGAAGTAAACATCTTCTGATTTCCTTGTTGCAGTCTGCATCTGCAGTAATCTTAGTGTCTATAAATACCAAGTCTGTCACTGGCTCCATGTTTTCTCCCTCTATTTGCCAGTTATCAATCAGTATGGTTGCCATCATCTTGGTTTTTTTGATGTTTAACTCCAACCCAGCTTTTGCCCTTTCTTCTTTCACTTGAGTTAGAAGGCTCCTCAGCTCCTCCTCGCTTTTGGCCATCAAAGTGGTATCATCTGCATATCTAAGATTATTAATGTTTCTTCTAGCAATTTTAACTCCGGGCTTGGATTGATCAAGCCCAGCATGTCACATGGTGTTTTCTGCGTACAAGTTGAATAGGTCAGGTGATCCTGGAGACTAGGGTTCAAATCCTTGCTTGGCTGTGGGAACCCTTGTGAAATCCCTCACTCTCAGCCTAAGAGGAAGGCAAAGGCAATCCCTGCCCCTGAACAAATCCTGCCAAGAAAACCCCATGATAGGTTGCCTTAGGCTAGCCATAAGTTGGAAACAACTTGAAGGCGTTCAACAACAACAAACATGCCTAAGATTGCTCTTTGAGGGAGGCAAGAGAATAGGAGAAAAGAGGCAGGCATTGGAAGCTGGTCTGAGATTCTTGATTGATATAAAAAGTGCTTAGTCTTCGATCACGCAGGGGCAAACTTCGGTCCTCCGGGTATTTTGGACTTCAACTTCCAAAATTCCTCTGTTAGGAATTGTGGGAGTTGAAGTCCAAAACACCTGGAGGGCTGAAGTTTTCCCAATGCTTGCCTTAGATGCTACTTTAATTTCTGTTATTCCAGTATACAGAACTCTGGGATCTGTAGTTTGATGAGGGTATGAGACATCACTATTGCACCTTAGAGTTCTCTGGCAAAGAAGTCTAAGTGCCTTACAAAACTACAAATCCCAGGATTCCATAGTGTGGAGTCATGGCATTTCCTAAGCAAATATTAATAAATAGCTAACCTAGATAAGGAGATAGGGAGGTGTGAAGACATGTAGACCGACAAGCAAGATAGAACATGAAAGGAAGTCAGGAGCATGGTAAGGAATAAGTCAGGAGCAAGGTAAGAATAAACGAATGATGGACTTCATTAAAGACCCTATAAGTTTGCTGCTGCTTTATCATTTACAGTCCATTTCTCCTCCAGTAATCTTTGGGTGGTACTCACTTCCCACTTTATTCTCCTTCAAAACAACCCTATGAGGAAGGTCTTTTGTGACATGCAAAAGCTTCCTTCATTTAGCATAAAAAAATGTGTGTGTGTGTGTGCAATTTTTGCTAGAAAATTGGAAAAAATAGTTGCTGATTCCCTCATATTTACCATAGACAGGAACCCCTGGGGACACAATGGGTTAAACCCTTGTGCCAGCAGGTCTGCTGACTGAAAGGTTGGCAGTTAGAATCTAGGGAGCAGGGTGAACTCCCGCCTGTCAGCTCCAGCTTCTCATGCGGGAACATAAGAGAAGCCTCCCACAGGATGATAAAACATCCAGGAGTCTCCTGGACAAAATCCTTTCAGACAGCCAATTCTCTCACAACAAAGAGCCTTGCAGTTTCTCAAGTTGCTTCTGACACACCACACAAACCATAGACAAAGGTCTACCTTCATCCCATCCCTGGTTTAAGAGACTCATTCTCTTTGGGGCTTTTAAAATCTGGCATCACCTTGAAGACTAACAGCTGCACTTTGGCTCAGTTTCATGCCACAATAAACCTGTTAATTTATTAAAACGGCAGAAGAGTTCTTTTCATATCTATTAAAGGGGTCAGGAAGGGATAAGCTGATAGATTCAATCTGTTGTACTGAATAAATCCATGTTAGCATAATATACTTTGTATTGTCGAAGGCTTTCATGGCTGGAATCACTCAGTTCTTGTGGGTTTTTTCGGGCTATATGGCCATGTTCTAGAGGCATTTCTCCTGACGTTTCGCCTGCATCTATGGCAAGCATCCTCAGAGGTGACCTCTGAGGTAACCTCTGAGGATGCTTGCCATAGATGCAGGCGAAACGTCAGGAGAAATGCCTCTAGAACATGGCCATATAGCCCGAAAAAACCCACAAGAACTGGATAATATACTTTTCTCTTAGGCATACAACCTGTCTCCTCTCTTTCTTTCATATTCCCCTCATTTGCATTTGATAACATTACATCTGATAATGACATCTGGAGATCCTCAAACTGTACCAAGTTTTTGGCATCCTTTAAGTAATAATAATAACAATAACTTTATTTCTATCCTGCCCTATTTCCCGAAAGGGACTTAGGGTAGTTTACAACAAAAATTGGCAAACATTAAATGTCAAGAAAAACATAACAAAACAAATCAAATCATGGACAATCAAATAAACAACATTTAACCCATTTTGGGTTACACTTCTCCCCCAAATATACACCCTTAACAGCTTACACTACTAGAAGAAAATGTCCTTTGCTTTAAGACAAAGGCATGCATCTTAATATGATCAAAGAGGAATATGTAGTAGGAGAGTATCGGAAATACGAGAGGAACTTGAAATAAGGTTTGCAACTTTGAGCTTTGGCAACGTTGTGCAAGGAATGTACGAATACCTGACACAAAAAGGATTATTGACTTCTTAATTTTGATTCAATTTACTCTTTAAAATCAATGTATTTACTTTGTTTTCAACTACTCACCATAGCTACTATATGCTGTGAAATAGTGCATTTTTAAAGTGACAGACATGGAATCAGATTGCCTGCAATCACTCACTATAGATACTATTACCCGTTCAAGGTAATTCCTCTTATACATATGATTTAAGTATGCTGTAAAGATAACAGCATTCACTTCACCTTCAATCAATCATTTCATGTAGATGCTGCTATTACCTGTCAATGGGTGCATATATACATATAGGAGAACCTTGTACTCTCTTTCAACATTACCATAGGCACTATATTACCTGTTAAAGGGTGTGTGTGTATATGTATGTATGTGTATGTATATGAATATATAAATTTTCTTTGCCTTCAACCACATATACATACAATAATAACAATAATAATTTATTTATTTACGACATTTATATGCCACCCTTCTCATTCCAAAGGGGACTCAGAGCGGCTTATAAGATATATATACATACAATATATTATGTTATTAGCATAGTACAATATCAGTATTAAATATTACTATATTGTACTATACCATTATATTGTAATATTATTAGTAATATTACGTGTAATATAAATATACTATTATATCATATTATTAGTTAGCATGTTATTGAGCAGTACAAATCCCCTTTTTTTGTTTCAAGTATTAGCTGAAAGATCTAGTCCCCTCCAAAAAAAATTCTCCCTGTACAAATCAAAAAGCATCCAATGAAAATATAAGATTCGTTTCTTAAGCTGTACAATTGAACATTAATTGGCTAAGGTGTATTGGTTCGTCCCAACCAATAGTTTGGTCCACATTTGAAGAGATCCTTTAGTTCTTCTACTTTGTGTGTGTGTGTATATATATATATATACTTTGTTTATATTCTGCCACCATCTCCCAGAAGGGACTTGGGGTGGCTTACCAAAGTACGTAATACTGAAGCAAAATATACAAAATACAGTAAAGCAATAATGACAAAACAATAAAACAAATCTGTATGTGTATGTATATGTATATGTGTGTATATATGAACATTGTACACTTTGCCTTCAACTATCACATAGATTCTATTACCAGTTAAAAAGAGTACATATGTTTGTGTGTATGTGTGTGTATATATACATACATACCCACACACACACTTGGAGAAGTTGTTCAGATAAGACTTTCTTCCTCTTCTCTCCAACAATGCAGCAAACCCTCCCTTTTCAGTTTCCCAAAGGTTGTAGGATCAATGCAGTTTGGCCCCACTTTAACTGCCCTGGTTCAATGCTATGGAATTATGGGAGTTATAGGTTTGCAAGGTCTTTCTCTGCCAAGGAGTGCTGGTGCCAGTCCAAACTACCCATGCTAATGGCAGGCAGTTACAAGTGTTGCCAAACTGCATTCATTCCCCTGTGTAGCTAGATACAACAAAAGAAAGTCAGGAAGAAACAGCACCAAATCAGGCAAAGTTTAATTTGAAAGCAAGTAGAGAAAGGAAGATGAGGAGGATAAATAAAACTGGTGGATTTGGGCTCACCTTTCTTGAGTTGCTGTGCAAAGAGACTTTCTGGCTGGAGTGCCTCTTCTGTGTGCCTCTCTGGAGCTGTGGCTTTGGAGCTCTGAACAGCAGCAGCAACCAAGCTGATCCCTCCCTCCTTCCTTCCTTCTCAGCCTGTCTCCCTCTCTCTCTCCCTTTCTTGCTTTCTCTCTTTCTTTCTCTCTTTCCCTGCCTCCTTGCAGGGAGTGGCAGGCCAGTGCCCTTCAGGGTGTAAAGAGGGAGGGATTTTGGCATGTGGGTGGCCTTGGATTGCGCACCAGGGAAGGGACAGCACAGGGCTGCTGTTTGTGACACATCGGAAGTCTGCATCATCTCCTACACATTTGTCATTCAGTTTTTTGGTTTTTTAAAAATATATTCCAGCAACAGAGGACTTCACTGCACACTTAGAAAAGTTAGTGATTGTGTCAAACACTGCTTTATATGCCCATCTAACACGAAACACAAAAGTATCCCAACTAACATAAAACACTAAAAAGATGAGCGCTATTGTCCTTTCTAGTAAATCATGTCTTCTTATGATATGGGTAAAGTACAACAGTGTGTTGTCGAAGGTTTCATGGCTGGAATCACTGGGTTGCTGTGAGTTTTCTGGGCTGTATGGCCATGTTTCAGAAGAATTATCCAATATGTTGATGACAGTGTCGTCTGTGCGCATTCAGAAGAAGACCTACAAGCCACTCTAAACACCTTCGCAGAAGCATACAAGAAGGTTGGCCTATCATTGAATATCGAGAAAACCAAAATGCTCTTCCAGCAGTCACCAGCCAATCCCTCTGCAATGCCAGAAATACACCTTAATGGTGTTTGAGGGGTGCTTTGAATGCAATATTCCTGCTTCTTGGCAGGGGGTTGGACTGGATGGCCCATGAGGTCTCTTCCAACTCTATGATTCTATGATTCTATGACCAGGACATCCGTAGGGATATCAAGGTGCTTGTTTATAAAGCTATTGTCCTCCCAACCCTGCTATACACCTGCAAAATGTGGACTATTGACAGACCTCACACTCAGCTCTTGGAATGATTCCATTATTGTTGCCTCCAAAAAATCCTGCAAATCACTTGGGAAGACAGGCGGACAAATGTCAGTGTGCTGGAAGAAGCAAAGACCACCAGCATTGATGCTGGACTGGCCACGTTGTCCAATTGCCCAATCACCAACTCCCAAAGCAGTTACTCTACTCTGAACTCAAGAATGGAAAATGAAATGTTGGAGGACAAGAAAAGAGATTTAAAGATGGGCTCAAAGCCAACCTTTAAAACTGTGGCATAGACACTGAGAACTGGGAAGCCCTGGCCCTTGAGCTCTCCAGCTGGAGGTCAGCTGTGACCAGCAGTGCTGTAGAATTTGAAGAGGCATGAATGGAGGGCGAAAGAGAGAAACGTGCCAAGAGGAAGGTGCGTCAAGCCAACCCTGACTGGGACCGCCTTCCATTTGGAAACCGATGCCCTCACTGCAGGAGAACATGCGGGTGAAGAATAAGGCTCCACAGTCACCTACATACCCACTGCCAGGACACCACACTCAGAGGACAATCTTACTCAGACAATGAAGGATTGCCTAAACAATCTCCTGACGTTTCACCCATATCTATGGCAGGCAACCTCAAAGGTGTGAGATCACCTCTAAGGATGCCTTCAATAGATGTGGGTGAAACATCCGGAACATGGCCATGCAGCCTGGAAAACTCACAGCAACCCAAACTACAACATCCTCAGTTTAGACATCTTGGCTTCCAGAGAGAGGTTAGATTTTATTTACTCTTTTATTTATGGTTCTTTTTAGAAGTCCCTGATATCTGCAGAAATCTCCTCCAGCACTATATCCTTAATAAGTGGGCTTTCTTTATCTATCACCTTTCTTCATAACTTCTTCCTAACTTTAGTATTCAATGACATATCTTTATACTTCGGGGTCTTGTCTACTTCCTCCTCCTAATTCTCGTCTTCTGATTTCTTAATTGCAGTCTCCATTCTGATTAATGACAGAGTAAAGGTAAGGGAAAAAAAATGATGACTTAATCAACTGCTCTTAAATGATGTAAATCATCTGTGGTCATTGTATGAAAGTAGTGCTAAGGGATTTTTGGGGTTAAAGGGCCCTTAGGTGGGAGAAAGAAACATGTGCCCAATGATAATTAAAGGTACAGGGCACAAGCATTCCCTATCCTTCAGAATTGCTAACTAGAGAAGTTCGCTACCCGAGGCTCAGTAGTATGTACCATTTTCCTTTACACAACCTATGCATTATCATCTATTGAGTAACGGTTATTCATTACTAGAGTACCTATCTGGCATTGCCCAATAGAGTCTGCCCACCTGCTTTCTCCCTTCTCCAACTCTGAGCATGCCTACCTAACGATGTCTCCATGGCAATGCTATTACAACTCTCTTTGGGCAAGACTTCTTTGTGGCTCGTTCTTTTCTTCCTTTGTTTCCATCATACACCTTCTCACTCTATTATTCCTTCCTTCCTTCCTTCTTCCTTCCTTCCTTCTCTCCTCCTTCCTTCCTTCCTTCTCTTCTCTCCTGCCTGCCTGCCTGCCTGCCTGCCTGCCTGCCATCCATCCTGCACTTCCCCCTCTCTCCCTCCCTCCCTTTCTTTCTTTCTTTCTTTCTTTCTCTTCCCATCCCTCCTTTGACCCTTCTTTCTTCCCTTTATCTTTCCTTCCTTCCTTCCTTCCTTCCTTCCTTCCTTCCTTCCTTCCTTCTCCTTCCTTCCTTGCCTTTTATTTCCATCCCCTTCTCTTTCTCTTCCTTCCTCCTCTTTCTTACTTTCTTCTTTCTTTCTCTTCCTCCTCCTTTCCCTTCTTCCTTCCCTTTAGTTTCCTTCCTTCCTTCCTTCCCTTCCTTCCTTCCTTCCTTCCTTCCTTCCTCTCCTTCTTCTTCCTTTCTCTTTCCTTCCTCTCCCCTCTCCTTCCTTCCTTCCTTCCTTCCTTCTTTCTTTCATTTTTTTCTTTCTTTCCTTCTCTCATTTCTTTCTTTCCTTCATTCTCTCATTTCCTTCCTTGCCCTTCTCACCCCGAAGGGGACTCAGAGCGGCATTACACATAGGCATTCAATGCCATAGAAACATAGGTAAAGGTTGTCCCCTGACTATTAAGTCCAGTAGTGTCCGACTCTGGGGTGTGGTGCTCATCTCCATTTCTAAGCCGAAGAGCTGGTGTTGTCCGTAGACACCTCCAAGGTCATGTGGCCAGCATGACTGCATGGAGCGTCATTACCTTCCCACCGGAGCAGTACCTATTGATCTACTCACATTTACATGTTTTTGAACTGCTAGGTTGGCAGAAGCTGGGGCTGACAGCGGAGGCACACACCACTCCCTGGATTCAAACCTGCGACCTTTCGGTCAACAAGCTCAGCAGCTCAGCGGTTTAACCCACTGTGCCACCAGGGGCTCCATAGAAACATATGCAATTAAAACATATACAACTAAAGTAAACATTTACATTAAAACCAAAGAATGAAAAGATCTAAACATTACACAAATTAGTAAAAACCATGCAGTTCTGTCTTCCCTCTCCCTCCATTCCTTCTTTTTCTCTTTCTTTCTTTCTTTCTTTCTTTCTTTCTTTCTTTCTTTCTTTCTTTCTCCCTTTCCCCTCATACATATGTCACTTTCACTAACTTTCGTTTCCAGTCACATCACAGAGGGCCACTTCACCTTGCAACAGCCAATCAACAACCCATTCACTTTCTTCCTTCCTTTTCCTCTGCCCTGAGCTCAAAAGGGGAGGTTCTTTTAGTTAATCCCTCTCAATTATTTTAAATTGGATAATAAAGGGTATGTGTGTCAAGTTTGGTTCATGGCCATTGAGCCATATAGGAGCCTTTGTGGCACAAACCAACCAACCAACCAAGAAGCATACATATATGCACACATACAAATACACACACACACACACATATACATGCATACACACACATCCAACTAAAATGATGAAAAGTCATGAGTACTTTAATTAGCAATTTCATAAACACATTTCCATATTTGCTATAGGTAACAATAACAAAGAAAGTAACTGTTTGCCTTTAATGGCTACATACATCTATAATATTTCCTCTTTTAAAGTATTGATCAAACTCTGGACATGTAAAGTTATGGTTTTCTCCTTTTAATTCTGCTCTTATGTATCCTTTGTGGGATACATAAGGAAAAGATGGCAATCATGTACTCTTCCAGACATTGTAGGACTGCAACTCCCATCACCCCCGACGATGGCGTCCAGGACTGTTGCTGCACAATTCCTCCACCTGAGAGAAGGAACCTGAGTAACCTGGTACAAGAGGTAGGTGTGAATTCCAGTGCTGAGCAATGCATGACTCAGAAGGATGTGATATAATCCAAAAATAATATATATGATATGATCAGAGGGTGCGGAGAAATGCCCGAGGAGGCAATACTCTTTCTGGCTTGCCAGTCCTATGAATGTTTCAGACTAATAAAACTAAAGCAAGGCTTCATTGCTTTGGAATCTTTGGACATATTTGAAGGACAACATATAGCTTTGTACAACCCTTCCCAGACCTTGACATGATCAGGAGAACATCTTGTTTCAGTCCCACCCCTTTCACAGGGGTTTTGTTTGTTTATTCGGTCAGTCGCTTCCTTTCGTGACCTCATGGACCAGCCAGGGCTCCCAGTCTGCCATGGCCACCCCCAGCTCCTTCAAGGTGAGACCAGTCACTTCAAGGATACCATCCATCCATCTTGACCTGGATGGTTGATGGTTAGATGAGACAGGATCTTCACAGTGGCTGCCCCATAAGGGTCCATCTACACTAGCATTAAGAGATTATCACACCACACAGTTAAACTTCTGTTAATCTACTTTGAACCCTGTTTGTAGTTTAGTGATGCCTAGGACCTCTCTGGTTGATAATTTTGAAGGTTTCTCCCTAAAATGCAAATCCTAGGATTCCACAGGAGGCAGCCATAGGATTTAAAGTGAAATGACAGCACTTTGACCATGTAGTGCAATAATTTCCTGACTAACATTATTGGTCACAGCTGGAGGTCAGCTGTGACCAGCAGTGCTGTAGATTTTGAAGAGGCACGAATGGAGGGTGAAAGAGAGAAATGTGCCAAGAGGAAGGTGCGTCAAGCCAACCCCGACCGGGACCGCCTTCCACCTGGAAACCAATGCCCTCACTGCGGGAGAAGATGCAGGTCAAAAATAGGGCTCCACAGACACCTACGGACCCACCCTGGAGGATTATCCTACTTGGACAATGAGGGATCGC